GCGGTCTTTGCAATGTGGTCTTTGAAGGTCAGCTGGTCATCAAATATTACACCAAGATTTCTGACTGAAGTTGATGGGGTAGATTTGAAATATGCTGCCTTTGCAGACTTAGCAGCAGTCTGGTAGGTCAGAAGAGAAGACTTATAGACCTCATATGAAGATTGAAGTCTGTCCTTTTTCCATTTTCGCTCCGCTTTTCTGCAAGCTCGTCTTAACGAGCGAATTTCGGGAGTTAACCACCTTTCAAATTTAGGTTTTGTTTTAAAAACTTTGAGCGGAGCAGTCACATTTAAAATGTCCATCCATACATTATTTAGCAGCTCAAGATGTTGGTCGACATTCAAATCAGAAAGTGATGAGTCCAAAGACAACTGCGAGCTCAGTTCATTAAAAAGCATGATAAAATTCAGGTGGAACTGAGAGGAGTAAGACCAAGACAGCCAAACAACATCACCAAAAGGAGAAGGTAGATTTGGCAGCGACAATGAGAATAAAATTGGCTTGTGGTCAGAGATCATTGTATCAGAAATTTTAAGCTCAGAAATAGAAAGCCCATAAGTGAGCACTAGGTCCAAAGTGTGCCCTTGTAGGTGGGTGGGCTCATTTACCCACTGTGTTAGGTTAAAGGATTCCGTAAGACTTAAAAACTCTTTTGAAAGGGAGTTTGCTGGGCAACAAACATTAACATTAAAATCACTAACTAAAATAAAACGGTCATAATTTGTAGTGATATACCCCATAAACTCCGTAAGTTCAAGAATAAAATCTTTAACCAGATGTTGAGGGCGATACAACACAGCTAACAGAATAGGGCCACTCCACACAAAACTTAACAACTGAGCTTCAAAACTGGAAAAAACTTTAACAACAATTATCTGACAGTGAGAGAAAAAAGGCTGTTTTACAACAGTCACTAAGCTGCCCCCTCGACCATTTTGCCGGGGAGAATTTAAAAAACGAGCAGTCATTTGGAACCAGTTCGGAAAAAGGACTTAAATCTCCTACCTGAACCCAAGATTCAGTGATAAACATAAAATCCAACTTATGGGAGGAGAAAAAAATCGTTCAGCAGGAAGGTCTTATTTGCCAGCGAACGAGCGTTTATCAGAGCCAATTTTGGTGGATTAATGGCACTGGAGGTGGCCGGGGCTCTGCGCACAGGGCGGAGATTTTCAGAATTTGCCCCGGTTTGCCGCGTGCAGAAGCCGATGCAAGGAGACGCAAGACGAGGGTCAGGTGAGCAGTCAGAGATGATAGGGAGAAGCCAGCGGGGGGGGGGGGAC